AACTGTGTGTTGTACTGAGTGAAATGACTGAAAAGGAACACAAGGTTATGAATATAACCACGGTTCCTTGAAGGAATGGAACGAAGTACAACACCTTGTTGGCCCCGCATCACAAAAGGCTCGGTGAAGGGCGGTATCTAACTGAGTAATGACGCTGGTGACTCCGAACTTATAGGGTGAAGGCGGAGCCTGTTACCAGACGTTCAACGTCACCGGTCTACAGACGTGATTAGAGGCGGCTTCAGCCAGGCGCGCGAGGGCGCGCGTGTCCCATATACAACTGTGTGTTGTACTTCATTCCATTCCTTCAAGGAACCGTGGTTATATTCATAACCTTACGTTTTTGTTTGGAAATTGTAAAAGGCATATAGTGCTTGGGTCTTTGTGATGTTTGGGTTTGACTGGTCAGACAACCGCTCCCAGTTTCAATCAGATCCTGACTGATGAAGTTCTTTGTCGTACGAATGCCTTGTCATCGTTGAAACGAGATGTTTCTTGTGTTTACATACAGAGCATACATAAATATACAGAAAGTCAAGATAAACAGGTGAAAACACTACCTTGGTGCCCAAACAGACAATCTGTCCTGCATAGCTGGAAAGTGACTGGTAACAGGCCTTTTCTCCAACCAAAGCCTACAGCACAGACACACAAAACCCATTAAAATGATAATTAAATCACATCATCTTTTCTGATCTCAGGCTGGTGAAGCCTAATGTCATCTTAAGCTAAACTTTGAAAAGAAACTTTGTTTTCGTTTAGCCATGATCTTCTCCTCTGAGACTTTACACTGTCATTAGATCTACATTACTATTTAAATTAGTTATGACTCAAACAAGCATTTTAATGAGCAAAGTACCTGATCGTGATTAGCTACTAACAGTTCTTTTTAAACATGACCTCATGTTTGATCCAGTTAATGTGAGTGGTGATTTGTGATCGTGCTCCCCACTACATTCCCCCTCACCAGAGCCTGGGAAACATTCCCTCCAGTGGCCAGTGATTTGAAATGCCTGCTGTTATACACCAGCTGCACCTGCTCCAAGTCTAGGGTCTCCAACACTTCCTGAGATGACCGGTCCACAACCTGCAGCTTCTCATGACTGTCCACCAGGACCAGCGTAGAACTGTTGATCCACTGCAGGGGAAAACAGACACAACCCGGTTTGTTTTCTTGTACATAGAGTGTGACTCACCCACATGTTTAAATCAACCAGAGTAGAGTAGAGTAGAGTAGAGTAGAGTAGAGTACATTGTGGGGGCTGTGACGTAGTGGTTAGGGGAGTTGTCATGGAACCGGAAGGTCGCTGGTTCGATCCCCCGTCCAGCCATCTCAGTCATTGTGTCCT